GGGATGGTGATAAGGTTGGTTGTTATTATAATTTCTCTAATTCTCATTAGTCTTTAATCATATTCAATTATTTATCAATAGCTTATTAATTATACGATTCTTTAGTTTGAAAATATTACGAAACTTGAAGGAAATCACGGAGATTTACCTTATTTCTGGTTCACATGATAGATCAATTAGAGTGTGGAAACAAACTGACAGTTAAATAATATTGACATGGGTTTATAATTAATTAATTATTAATAATGTAATTGCTTCAGCTTTTTTTGGAAGAACGTGAGAAAGAGTTAGAGGAACTATATGATTCGACCTTGACAACATCAATGGAAAAAGCGACACTTGAAGATAACGTAGAGTCAACTTCAGCTGGAAAACAAACTATGGAAACACTAAAAGCTGGAGAGCGTATTATAGAAGCATTGGATATCGTTGACGATAATGCTACAGCTTGGGAAACCTATTATAAGGTTAACTTTAATTATTTAAATAAAACCTTTGAGATACAAAACTAATTTAATATATATTTTTTTACACAGCCTAAAGAGCGGGACAGGATCCTGGGCTACCACCAAAGCCCAATCCTATTCTTGTTACGCTGTTACGCTTGGAAATCTGACTGGAGACCAATATGTTCTCGGAACTATTGAAAAAATAAGGTCAGAATTAGAAGAAGCATTATTGATTTTGCCATTTGCTAAAGTTATTTTTTTATTCCAATATTTGGACTTGTGGGCTAAAAAGGTAACTTAACACCTTTTTGTAATTTATATTGTTATCATATTATCATTATTTTACATAACTATATATCTATTTATTGTGGTATTGACATGCTGAATTACATTTCATCTTAAAAGTTCATCATGTCCAAATAGTTGCAAATCGACTTATGAAACCAAGACTACTTTGAAAACACATTTAAGAGCTGCATTAAAACGGAATAATGTTAGGATTTGAAAGATTGAACAAATAGCTTAAATATAACAATTTTTGTATGTATTAATCACACTTTCTCTCTAGGATTTATTGGATATAACTTAGCGACGCTTAAATATATTAAACGTGATCGGGAAAACAATAATACAGCAGAATTTAATATTTTAAGTGGCCAGATTTGAGATTTTTTCATATGTAAAGAGTAGCCAAATTTGAAAATTTAATATAAAACTACTCTAATTTTGGATCATTATAACTTTGTTAAAAAATTTTTTAGAAAAAATTTAATATCATGAGTTTGTTTAGCGTAATTTAAAAATTTGTATATTTATTGGTTGGGACTGCACCTAGTGATCCTGGAAGATAATGAAAAATCGGCTTAGCCGGTCGATTTTTTAAAAAATCGGCTGACCGAATTTATTATGACATTCCTAAAAGTTCAGATGTAGAACATAAACGAACTTAACAGTTAATCTTCCAAAGTTTAATAAAAAAAATCGACTAAGCCGGCTAAGCCGATAAAATTTTATCGGCTTAGCCGGTCGAAAAATTTTGATCGGCCAGGATC